ATAGTAGACTCCTCCTCATTAGAAGAGCCAGAAGAAGAATCTCTTCCATAAACAATATGGTGAGATGTAATTTTTTTTTTAAAAACTATATTAGATTGGTCATTGTCAACAAGGATCGTGCTAAGTGTTGGAATTTCTGGACAACAGGTGATAAATGGGCTACATTCAGGATGATGGCTGAGCAACCAGGGTCAGCAGCTGCCTGACTATTGAAAGAAAAATTGTTTATCTGCCACAAATATATAAAGGCTGAAATCAAATAAAACTGAAGTCCAACAAGTATAGGATATCTGAAAAGAATGCACCAGTTCTGGAAAGAACAACATCCAGAATCAAAAATAGCAGAACAGAGGTTATCAGATCAACATTTATTTACAATACAAAACAAAACACACACAATGTAGAATTGGAAGAACTGCAGAGGTCTACACAGGGCAAAGAAATCAAAACCTTGCCAGAAGTAGCTGTAATTGTAGATGCAAACCTGGGGGAGTTGGGAGTAGAGAAATCAGCATAGCTTTTGAATCATTTTTATTCCCAAACCAGGCACTGACTCCTCTCTTTTATTCTCAGAAAGAACAAAGCTTTCTAATAAAAACGAACAGGAATTGAAACAAAGAATAAATGAGCATTTAGAACAATACAAAATCAACAGAATACCTAATCCACAAATACCACTTAGAAGAAAAGAAGATTAAGGAAGCACTGGGAATAATAAAGCAGCAAATAACAGCCATAGCAAAGAAGACAATCAGATATGAAACTCAAATTGCACACTATAGGCAGAATCTCAAATTTCAGTTGAACCAGAAACATTTCTACCAATCCATCAGTGAAAACACTGTAGTGAACCAGTCAACACTTAACAAAGAATAAACAGTGCAGTTCTGGGCACAGCTATGGGACAACTCAAAGAAATACCACAAGAATGCAGCTTGGATAAAGGAGATGGATAAGGAAAAAAAAGAAGCTGAAATAAAAGAACTTGTAATAACAGCAGAAATGATAGAAAAAAGGGCAAGGAAGATCAGGAATTGGTCAGCACTAGGTGAAGATGAACTACATGGTTTTTGGTTGAAATATCTGATTGGTCTGAAGTCATTCATTGCCAAGCAGTTTAACAACATACCGCAAGGAAGTGAAATTGAAAATTGGTTAACATCTGACAAAGCCTACCTGACAATGAAATATCCAACAAAACGGGCATCATCAGGCAACTCCAGACCAATTGCCTGATTACCAGCAATGTTCAAATTGCTAAATGGTGTGTTAGCTGATTCAGTCCAACAGCATCTAGTTCAAACCAAGCTCTTTCCACCTGAGCAGAAAGGAAACTGCAGAAGAACAAAAGATCAGCTCCTAACTGACAAGAAGATTTTGGAAAACCACAAGAGAAGGAAGACCAACTTGAATATAGCTTGGTGATAATGACACAATGGAAGACACATTTGCTGGTCAATGGTGATAGATCTGTAAAGGTTAATATCAAGAGAGGAGTATTTCAAGCAGACTTACTATCACCATCTATGCAATCTATGCAATGGTCATTGCAGTGAAAAAGTCAGGTCATGGCTAGAAACATCAAAAAAAAAAATCTACTAAGCTACTTACCTGCTTTACATAGATGGTCTGAAACTTTATGGGAAAACACCATCTAAAATTGAAACATTGTTCAATAAAGTTTAGTATATTAAGTGTATATAGTTTATTTAGTTCATAACATAAAATCATAGAATCATAATTTTGAATGGAGGAATTTAAGCTACAGAGTTCAATGAAGAACTCTAAATTAAATAACCCCTGACTGATGGCTGTGTAGTTTGTGCTTGTACAGATCCAGTGAAGGGGAACCTACTCATTCTTTTGATAATTAGCTTCGTTGTTGAAATTCTCTTATTGTTAGGAAGTTTTTTTGTTAACATTTAATTGGAATCTGCCTTCCTATAATTTAAGTCTATTATTCTGTGTCCAACACTATAGAATGCTAGGGCATAGGTGTTAACCTGCTTCTGACATCTTTTTATATATTAGAAATATGCTCTCATATTCCTTCTTAATATTCTCTTCACAAGATAAAACATGTCTAGACCTGTAATCTTTTTTTCATATGTCTTCATTTTTAGTCTCTTAATTATTCTCATTTTTAAACCACCTAGGTGCCTGTTCAATTGTTGTCTTGTTCACCCCATGCATTCCATGAGTAAAATACAATTTGTACTATGGACCTCTTCTACCAAAATTCTTCCAGCAAAATAGAACAATAAAACAAGCAAACGTAATCTCTCTTTCTGAGATAATGTTTCATAATTTAAATCTTTATACAACATACTATGTGATTATGTTACTTAAAACATGTTTCTTAGAAGTACTTTGAAAATTGCAATCTGGAGAGGAAGGATAGTTGAACCCAAACCAGGATAGTATCTCTCACTGAAAGGTACTTAGCAGCTGCTCAAGTGATAAAGAGATAAAGGGTATAAAGTTATAAACACTAACTACTGATACCAGATCATCACCAGATAACTATGAGGTGTGATTAATGCATACTGAAAAAAAAAAAAATCAGTACACATAAACACCAGCATAAACTGGATTCTGAACATGTGCAACATATATGTTTATGTTAGTCATTAACACCTATATGTAAAGGAAAACAGAAATAATCTTGAAGAAAATTTGTGGCAACCATTAAGATATATCCCATAGGACCCAAAAGAATGGCCTTCTCTATGGTGGCTCCATCCCTTTGGAATATCATCCCTTCAGAAATTAGACTGAATCCCACTTTGCAATCTTTCATATGGCCCTGAATATTTGGTTTTGCCAGTGGGCCTGGTGAACCAAGAGTGGGATGGAGACAATCAAATGGTTATTTGGTATTGTCACAGGGAAGAGGTGTATTATTTTTTTATATTTAGTTTTTGCTTTTAGTTTTAGTTTTTCTATACTGTGTTTTTATTATTTGTAAGTTGTCTAGAGTTGCTGTGGCACCTATGCTGTTGTTGTTAGTTGTGAAGTCATGTCTGACCGATCGCAACCCCATGGACAACGTTCCTCCAGGCCTTCCTCTACCATCCTCTAGAGTCCATTTAAGCTCACGCCTCCTGCTTCAGTGACTCCATCCAGTCATCTCATTCTCTGTCGTCCCATTCTTATTTTGCCCTCAATCTTTCCCAGCATTAGGTTCTTCTCCAGTGAGTCCTTCCTTCTCATTAGGTGGCCTAAAATATTTGAGTTTCATCTTCAGGATCTGTTGTGACCCAGGCCCACGTAGTTAATATTAAATGCAAAACAGTTCCAAAAAACAAACAGATTTTATTAAAACAGCTGAGAATTAACTCATTCCCAGCATATTCCAAATTAAATGAAAGCAAAGTCCTCAAAACACCATTCTTCAGTTTATCTCTGACTTTGGGATAATTAGGCAAACTGCCAAAGGCTTTTCTTGGCAACAGTTCAGGAATAGAAGACGCTGACAAGAAATAAATACATCCAAACAGGAAGCAAATCTCTCAACAATTATTTTCCAGCAAAGAGGCCAAGAGCCGTTGCTGGTCTTTTAAGCTTTATGGGAGGGACCAATCATCTCTTGGCCCTACTCCCGAGACATCCTCTCTGCTTTAGCTGTTCCTGCCTTCTGGCAGCTCTCATATGTGCACTAGGAACAGGCTCCTCTGCCTCTCTACTGTCAGCCTCTGGAGGCTCTGAAGTCCACGCATCACTCCCCAATGGCCCTGGCCCCATCTCTGCCTCCAACGCAGAGCCTTCATCTGGGCCTTCCCCAGCCTCCAGGACTGGCCCATGTTCTTCCTCAGCCTCATCGCTGTCCAACTCCACTGCCAGTTCCGCAGGCTGTTGGCGGACCACAACAGGATCTGGCCTTCTACAGAGCAGTCAGAGTTGATCTCCTCTAGGACTGACTGGTTTGATTCCCTTGCAGTCCAAGGGACTCGCAGGAGTCTTCTCCATAGTTCAAAGGCCTCTATTCTTTGGCACTCAGCCTTTCGTATGATCCAACTTTCACAGCCACACATTGCAACTGGGTAAACCATAGCCTTGACTATACGCACTTTTGTTGGCAGGATGATGTCTCTGCTTTTTAGAATGGCAGAAGGAAATGGCAAACCCACTCCAGTATCTTTGCCATGAAAACCCCATGGACAGTACCAAAAGGCACCTATATACATTCTCTAAATAAATAAATAAATATGAGTTTAACTAGGAAAACAAGAAAATGTAAGAAAGAAATTCAAGATTGCACAATCTTTACTCTTTTTGCTATAAGAGGGAGGAAAGATGAAAACCTGTCATGTTGTAACTAACATTGTAGCAGCTGTCACGATGAGAGCCAGTTGCAGCATTGTGGTTGAAACATCAGGCTAGGAACCAAAGACTGTGAGTTCTAGGTGATTTGGACCAGTGACTTTCTCTCAGTCCTTAGAAGAAAATAATGGTAAACAATTTCCAAAAAATCTTGCCATGAAAACTACAGTGATTAATTTGTCTCCAAGAGTCAAAAACTGATTGAAGATGCACACATGCACCCACAGACAAACATCTTGTGATATCTGCTTCCTGAACTGACTCAAAGTACAAAAATCTGAAGACCGAAGTTTAGATAAAAATGGAAATTAAATAAACAGGAATGATTAGATATATAATAACCATTTTCTATTAATTTCTAATGAGAGGAGAAACTAAACAGTAGTTTCATTTAGGACATAATGAAAATAAAATTTTCTGTTCATAGGATTTTTTTTTTTTTGTTTCAGAGAAGATTACACTGTACTGCAAAGGAATGCTTGAGAATAATGTTTACAAATCTAGTTATTCATGTTCACTTGAAGACACATAAGTCCTTTATATGAGTCCTACTTAACAAGGATGGACATTATGCATTTAGCTGAATACAAGCAAACATTTTTTTGTAGATGTTGAATGAGCATACCTAGTCATATATGTGATGTCATAAATGATGATACCACCTTTCTCTATTTACTTGTGCTATATTTGAATACAGTGACAGCATATCTTGAACTTTGTAAGGTGTAAGGTTGTTCCAATTCTCTGAAGGTGTCTTAAGTCTGAGAACTACACTGGCCCAGAAATACCTACCTAAATGAACAGGTGAGTTTTAAAAGCATTTGGATTCTTCTTCAGTTGAGATTATCCAAGACAGAGAAGAATTCTCAAATGTCCCTTTCATAGTTCATCAAATCCTGATGATTCTCTTAGCTTTCCATATTTATATACATGGCAGTAGTAATACTGGTGAATGACAGTAAAACTGTTTTCCCCATACTTTATGATGCAGCTGCCTTTTGTTAAATCAAGACTTTGAAGGTACAAATTCAATCTTGTACATTATGTTTTCTAAATCAAGAATCATTTTCTGTTTCACAAATTTCATAACAGGGGAAAAAATTGCCAGAACTACAGTTCTGTACTAGAACTGCAAAAAGCAGTGGTAGGCATGCTTCACAATGCATGATCAAATCAAGTACTAAAGCAAGTAAATACACTGGAAGTCTTACATACATGACAGCTTAGAAAAATCGCCTTCACTATCTAATGATAATGCACAGACAATATTTCCACTACAACTGCTTATGAAGTGATTAATTGCACAGATATGCATGCACAGATAGACTTCAATGAAACTATGTGTGGGTCTTACAAAAAAAACTCTGCTTCTTTTATACTGTTAGGAGATATATATTTTTTTAAAAAAAATCAAATTACTTTGGACTGTAACTGGGCAATGTGGACATTATTCAGGCAGATACTATAGCTTCTTGTTCCTCCAAAATCTCATGTACCAAGGAATTTCACAGGTGAATGGAAAGTTAAAGCTCAGAGACTGAAATAGGTTAACCTCTGTTTCATAAAACTGTGGCCAGACAGTTTTAGAGTCACTAGGAAAAGAAGTGAGGTAGAATTCCATTTAGTCCATTGCACATCAAGTATTTGACTTCATTTATTCTTATGTGCTAATTGATAGACTATTATATTAAATATTTCAAAATATGAATCCGAGAATTCAAAATATAAGCTCTGTTTACATCGTTCAACAATGTGAAATGAGAATATTGGATTTCATGACCCCTAGCAACATCTAAAATCATTCTTTTTTGTCAAATAATTGCCTCAACCCCTAATATAATAGAAGCTAGAAGAACTACATTTTTAAATTTATCTGTAATAGACGTTTTAGTATGTTTGTTAATCAACCTGATTGTTTTCATTTACTAAAGTGAAGTACTTTGATTAAGATTGGATTGGATTCTGAAAATTATTGTAGCTCATGTTAATGCATTCACTATTTCAGCCAATGTAGTTAATATATAGAATTAAACATTAAAATCTAAAGTCTGTCAGAAATATATAACTTAGTATTTAATCATATCTTTATCCTTTAATTATTTAATTCAATAACATATCTGCTCCTAGCAATTTAGGTTAAAGTTATTCAATTTGGGAAGTGACACACAAGTAATCTGTTTTATTGAATAATCTTTTGAGTAAAGAGAGTAGGAAGGGTTTTAAAAGGATCTTACAATATCACAATATTCACCTATAAAAAGATATGCTTTGTTATAGCTATTAAATATTGTTTCTTATGTTTGTATGCAGTAGTCCTTGACTTACAATCATTCATTTAGTGACCATTCAAAGTTACAATGGCATTTTAAAAAAGTAATTTATGACTGTTTTTTACACTTATGACCATTGCAGTATCCCGATTGTCACATGATCAAAATTCAGACCCTTGACAACTGGCTCATATTTATGACAGTTGCAATGTTGTGGGGTGATGTGATCACCTTTTGTGACCTCCTGACAAGCAAAGTCAATGGGGAACTCAGATTTACTTAACCATGTTATTAACTTAACAACTGGGGCAAGAAAGATAATAAACTGGGGCATTTAACAACTGTCTTGCTTAGCAATGGAAATTTTGAGCTGATTTGTAATCATAAGTCAAGGACTACTTGTATTTGCAGTTTCTGTTTTCTTTGGTACTGAACAAAATGCATCATTATTTTTATTTGGGATTGGATGGCTTTATTTATTTATTTATTTATTTATTTATTTATTTATTTATTTATTTAAAACACAAAACTAAACCATTAGATACTCAGCCTGGAGCAACAACTTTACTTAGATTTTCCTGCAAGTTGTTCCTTTGATAAATGGGATCATTCCTAGCAAGTACTTGGCACAGATAATGCCATGGATTACATGTTGTGTTCACTCCAGAGCTGAAGGATTTATTTTTCTTCTATCCCTGAAGGACACAATTGAATTAGTATAACTCTAATTCAACTGGCAATAGCTTTGCTCTTGTGGGTAAGTGGCACCATTGTCTATCACTATAAAAATTAGGGTATAACTTTCTCTGTGTGACTCAGAGTTTCAGAATAATCTACTTTATTAAATCTCTTTAATGTGTAGGAGGGGGACGGTTAGTTAGAGAGTTTAAAATAACTATTTTTAAATCTTTGTTTAAACACAGTTAAAGTGTGTAACAAAACTCAACAAGAACTAAGCGAAACCAAATATGTATATATTTTAAAATAACAGCAATATAATTTAAGCATTATCTCTGGTGATAAACTCTTGGGTTTGCTGGTCTGTTTGTATGAATATGATAGGGCACAGTAATGAGAACATTTTGGTAATAGAAAGTACCTGCAAAATCTCTCTGCTTTTAATTACAATGACAAAAGCAAAATCATGGTATTGCACTAAACTTCCACATCAGAATTGTATGAAACACTATGACTCATAGAAAAGAGGCAAGCCTAGCCAAATACTAATACAAAATACTATTTTTCTACCCTCTTGTCTATCTCCATGCATACCATTGCTTTTATTTTTGGTGGGTGGAAGGTAGTGGAGTAGAAGATTTTAAATCTTTGCTGGAAGGAGATCAGGAAGTAGTTTGCATCTAATTGTATCTGTCATGAAGTAAGATCAATTAAGGCATTTACTGAGGCTCACTTCCTGCATCATAGACAAGGTGTTGAGGGTACCCCCTTTGAATGAAAACAAAATGGAGAGAATACTTGTAATGTGATGAAGAGGTGGCCCTGAGAAGTAGTTAAATAATGAAGAAGGGCTGTGGATGATAGTATGCGAGTATAGTGAGGAACTGTGCAATGTTGATGAGGAAAGTATGGGCTGAATAAGTACAGAATTCCACCTAGCAGGCCAACTATAGTACATTTCCAGAATACTTGCTTAGCTAAGATGAAACTGTGGTTTGGCAGTGTTGTGGTGTTGTGGTAGGAGTATTGTGGGTCACTTATAACACATTGAACATCATTTTGGATGTTTGAACAATACTTATGAAGTATTGATGAGGGATGAGATACAGTTTTGGGATGTGTCAGGAATGGGGAAATATGGTAGTTAATGGGGTGGGCCACTACAGAATAAGGGAGGCCAGTGGTGTGTTGCCAGTTCCTGTTTCCAACCTTATGAGGATACAAGAATAGGAACACACACACACACACACACACACACACACACACACACACACACACGATTAATAGTGGATTTGGTAATTGAGCTGGAATAAGATCACTATCTGGAGTTTGGCCAACTTTTCTTTAATCAATCTATTCTCAATTTGTAAAAGTGAGGTCTAATCAGAATCTACTAATCAGAATCAGCTGCTAGATCAAATCCAAAATGTTCCTGAAGTAACTATAAACAGTCTCAGTGGTGCAGTAGTTAGAGTGCAGTACTGCAGGCTACTTCCGTTGCCTGCCGGCTGCCTGCAATTTGGCAGTTCAAATCTCACCAGGCTCAAGGTTGACTCAGCCTTCCATCCTTCTGAGATGAGTAAAATGAGGACCCAGGTTGTTAGGGGCAATATGCTGACTCTGTAAAATGCTTAGAGAGGGCAGTAAAGCACTGTAAAATGGTATATAAGTCTAAGTGCTACTGCTATTGCTAACTATAAATAGTACATATATTCTGAAACTGAGGCTCCATATTTTCACTGCAATAGGATATGCCAGTAGGGTAAATTGTCCAGCAACATTGTACGAGAGTCTATTACTTGTCTTTAGGAATCTAATGTAGCTGCCTCCATATAGTGCCCTTTTGTGATCCTTCAGATAAAGTTATTTCATGACTTTTGACAGCACTTGCCACAAATTGTGAGGGGTCCAAAAGATCTTGAGTCAGTTTGAAATGGAATATCAAGAAATTTTGATAGAGTGCAGGTCTTTGTCAAGACAAATCAAAATCAACTCCTGTTCCATAAGGAGGGAATTATTCCTTAATTTGAAAGAATATTGATATTCTTTTCTGTGGTGGTAGGTACAAAGATTGGCAATAAATGGCAAGATGGATGAGAAGCTCAAATGTCTTCTATTTGAGAGCAGAGTTCAACAAAATTAGCAAAAGTTGAAGAAAAGTATAAAGATGCGGCATTGTTACAAAAAGTCTCAGAAAGTAATACTGTGGGTAGGTAATTGTTAGGACAGCTATTTTCTTGTACTGGCTCTATTTATATAGCTAAAAATAAAAATATTCACCTACTTAGTTAATGTAACATATTCATACCATATGGATAAAACGTATCATTTTCATTCACACACATGCTACTATTTCATTGCAGATAGATTTTGGATGTTCAGAAATGTTTAAAGAAGGTTTTCACTGTGAAAATGATACATTTTTTCTGTATCATATCAGCATGATATTAAAAAGTATTATTTTAAGAATAAATGTATAGAATAAGATAGATCTACATTTTGTTGAACATTTCTTGGCTCTTAGAAATCATTTTACTATATTTAGCATAAGAGTGGTATTTATTTTTTTTTGTCAGTCTGCTATCATTCTGCATAATTTCTTCATTCTACAAGATTCAATATTTTTACTTTTCTCTCTGCTTATGTTTTGTATTACTAGTATACAAGAACCTCTTTTTTTTTAACTGTGAGAAAATCCTACAAGTGTTTTATCAAAAGATTCTTCCGTTTGTGTCTCACAATCTGTGATATATAATTTGGATAGAAGAGAAAAGATAAATAGTTTTCATTTTAAGCCCACAGAAAATGGTTTGTTCTGCATGAGTAACTGGTAAATCTTTTTTTTTTTAAGGAAAA